GCCAATTGTTTACCAGACCTCCAGACCAATAATTCAATGATATCAAGCGGTGTCAGGGGAGATGTTACATCTCCCGCGCCTGCTACGCACGCGTGAATCCGTGGGTTCGATCCCGGATCCAGGCGATGCCTGCTGTTGTATATTTGGAGTCCGCGTGTTCTCGCTCCCTCCGTGGTGGTGGTTGCGTGGATCCTTCCTCCTCGGGTGATGCCCCCCCCCCCACCCTGCAACCCGTCTCCACATTTATAATCAACACGCGCTTAGATGATTTGGCTGCGAATTTAAACCCCCACGTGTGGTGGTGATGATGATGATGATATCAGCCACTATCGATGAGCTATTATCACGTGTTAAAAAAGAGAGCTATATAGCTCCTCAGTAGAGTCTACCTAGTGAATTCAAACAGTTTGGTTTATTGATCAAGCGAATTCACTCTGGACCTGTTTAGACTCGGACGACGCAGCCGTTCGAGCTGTAACAAAAACTGCCTGCTGGCTAGGCCCGACCACGTGGGAGCAAACTCAGACGTGGCAATTTGTCCACATCCTTGACAAAGAGCTTCGTAGCTCATCGGATTCTTCCAGGATAAACATTATGATTGTGTGTTTGTAGACTCGGAACAAATGTTGGTTCGAACGTAATATCGGACAAACAGATACATGTGAATATCTGTAAAATGTACTCTCTCTCTATGTCTCTCTGGACTCTCTGTGTGCCGTGAAGAAGGGCCGTTACGCGAAACGTCGCGCCTATTATACACGTACTTGTTTGTAAAGCTACGGTGCCAACGACGAACGTGTTGAGTTTGTTGTTGTTGTTGTTTGCGCGCTACAGGCCACATCGTTTGTCGAGGAAGGAGAGGGGTTGACCGCCCCTGCATTCGGATTATGCGGAGGGAGAGAGGGAGTGAGGTGGAAGCGTGGAGCGAGCGAAGGGAAAACACACGGAGAGAGGGGCAGGGAGGAGAGGGAGGGAAAAAAATATGTACTTAGAAAACAGGGGGAACATAGACATAGAGTAGGGAGAGAGGGGGAAGAGAGAGGGGGGTAGAGAGAGGGGGTAAAGAGAGAGGGAAGGGGTAAGAAGAAGGAGCTGAGCTTGAAATCTTTCGTGAAATCTTTCATTTAAACGGGGGGGGGGGGCACATAAAGCATTGAAAAAAACCCAAATGATGAACGAAGCAAAGTGCCGACTACACCGATCATCTTCTTGTTTCCTCTGATCGTAAAACAAGAGAGAGAGAGAGGAAGAGAGGCGGAGACTGCGTAGGGAGTGAGAGGGGGAAGATGAGAGGGAGAGAGCGAGACGGAGGGAGGGAGAGAGGTGAGTTATGCCATTCCTTGTGGGATTCATCGACAGCTGTGGTGCTGAGCAGAAGACAAAAACGCACTTAGTGTGTCAACAACAACACCGACAGCAGCAGCAGCAGCAGCAGCGCCACAACAACAACAACAACAAACACTGTCAACAACAACAAACACGACGTGAGCTGTTACGTGCTGCAGTCATCCTGAGGCATTATGTGTCTGTGTGTGTTCCTGTGTGTCTGTGGGGAGCGGTGGCGCAGCGGTTAGCGCTACGCTGCGCTATGAACCTGCCGACCCGGGTTCGAGTCCCGCTCACGGCCAACACCGGTGACGATTATCTGAACCGGTCCTGGGCCTCCCCTAGGTCGACTCAGCCTCAAATGAGTATCTGGTGCGGCGGTGCGTAAAACATCGCCACTGGGGAGACAAAGGCGGCCGGGCGTGGTGCTGACCACCCATCTATCTCGTGTGCCGTACGGGCCTTCATAGGTGCTCGCTAACAGCACTTGCCCCTACAGTCTGTTCAGGCTATACGGGAGATTTTTGTCTTGTGTTGTGCCATCATCCACCATGGCCTATCCACTGCTGAACGAAGGCTGAGTCCATCTGAGAGTCATCTCAGTCAGTCAACCTTCCATACGTGGCCTCAAAGTGCACGTCGCCTGGCGAAAACGCCGCTGGGACGTCAAGGTCACTGAGTGGCGAATGGCGGTTGTTGTATATGTGTTGTAGTTGCGTCTATGACAGAATCACTTGCCCTATAGCCCCTGGGTTAAAAAGTTAGAGCCCAACATTAACAGCGCAATACAACAATGTCTAGAATTCTGCGGTCTTTGATGTATGAATATACTTCCAGCCAATGAATGAGTGTTTGTTTATTATACACGTGGGAGGAAACCGGAGCACCCGGAGAAAAATCACGCGTGCGAAGGGGCAACGCTCGATCCCACACAGATGATTATATTCCGAACTTTGCTGTACTCCCACGGGAAGGGAGTTTCGCAACATCTGTGTGCGATCCCCCCCCCTCTCTCCAATCCCCTCCCTCTGTCCCGATCACTCCCTCCTCACCCTGCAGTCGTCCCTCCACCTAAACCCTCCTTTCGATCACTCTCCCCCTCCCCGCTAATTCCACCTTCGCATCCCTCCGTCTCACTCACTGGACTCAGACTTGTTCATTGACAACCGTTGAGCTTCAATGCCCGGCCTCTTCTCATCCCCCCGACGCTCTCCACTTCCTTACCTCCTTCTCTTACCCATCCACCCCCCTCCTCCCTCCCCATCCATCCATCCCTCCCCGACCCACTCCAATCCCCCTCCTCCCCTCTGTGTTCTCTCCTCCCTGGCACGAGTCGTAGTCAGGGTAACGCGTCTCATTTGCATATCGCCGGCACGGCGCACAATGGAGCGAAGCGCATAACTCGCGACCGTGATTTAAAATGCAAATGGCGCGAATTGACAAACGAGCTCTTTATTAACTCATTAAAGACCATCTTTTTTTTTTTACGAGTCAAAGAGCCTCATTTACACGAGAAACGAGCCGCCTCCTCTTTGTGCGCCTGGCACGGCACGGCTCGGGTCGGCTCGGGTCGGTTCCATGGTCCGGATTGTGTCGGATCGGATTCGTTCCGACTCCACACTGCGGTATCGACAGACGCGAGAGAAATTAAATTGATTATTTTCTGTATTGAGCTGTATAAGAAAAAAAAACAAATACGAGCGTTGATCGGAGTACGGTATGAAGACACAATAAAGACAAAGGTCCCCCGTGTAGCCTTCAGCAGACTGTTGGGGCAAGTGCAAACTAGCCGGGTATGTGGCGCAGGGTGGCATCGTAGTGGTGAGCGCGCCGCGTTACGAACACGGCCGACCTGAGTTCGATTCCCACCCACGGCCAACGTCGGTGACGAATATCCCAAGGGGTGCTGGGCCTCCCCTAGGTCGACTCGGCCATGAACGAGTACCTGGTGCGGTGTGGAGTAAACATCGACACTGGGGAGACAAAGGCGGCCGCGCGTGATGCCGGCCACTCGCCGCCTCGTGTGCCGTGGCGGTGCTGCTCGCTAGCAGCACTTGCCCCAAGTCTATTAAGGACTATACGGGGAATCTTTGTCTTCGTGGGGTAGTGATATCGCCGTGGATATTCCCTACACACCCGGCCACCTGAGTTTGATTCCCGACCACGGTTAACATCAGTTGAGAATTACATTAGAACCGACTGCGGACCTCCCCTAGGTGCACACACCAGCAATGAATGGGGAGACGAATCCGATCGGGCGAACTGCGTACCTTGCCACCCCCCTGGCGTGCCGTGCCACTCTCTGCCGTGCCGTGCCACTCCTTGGCGTGCCGTGCCACCCGTAATAGGCGCTCGCTAACACGTTCCCCAACAGTTTGTTAATGGCTCCATGGGGGACCTTTGTCTTTATGTAAGTGTGCGTGTGTCCCCTTAGGCGTGGTTCACGCGTGTGTGTGTGTGTACAGCACCAGCTCCTAAAGTCTGTTAAATCCATGCGGGTGATCATTGTCTTTGTGTGTAGGCTATATCTGAATCGTTCCTGGGTCTCCTCTAGATCAACTCAGCCCCAAATGAGTACCTGGTGCGGTGTGTAAACATCGCCATTGGGGAGACAAAGGCGTCCGGGCGTGGTGCTGACCACCGACCTATCTCACATGCCGTGTCGGCCTTCGTAGGTGCTCGCTAACAGCACTTGCCCCAACAGTCTGTTAAAGGCTATAGGGGGACGAAATTTGCGTCTTTGTGTGAAGTGTACACACAGCAACAACAACGACCATTCGCCACTAAGTGGCGGTGACGTCACCGCGGCCCTCGTGCCAGGCTAGGTGCACGTTGAGGCCACGTGAAGTGTCGAACGCCCGCTGGCAGCAGGGGGTCACGGGGCAGGCCCAGGTGCCACGTGAACAACACGCACCACCTATACTCGATTTAAAGACCCCCCGTATAGCCTCCACAGGCAAGTGGCCCTTCACTAGCCAGCACCTATGGCTATCGGCACAGGGCACGACGGGGGTCAGGTGTGGCCGTCACCACGCCCTGGCCGCCTTTGTCTTCCCTGCGCTCATGTTTTACAACACCGAAACCTCGTACTCATTTGCGGCTGAGTCGACTCAGGGGAGCCCCATGACCGGTTCAGATATTCGCCTCTGATGTTGGCTGCGGGGAGCGGGAATCGAACTCGGGAACGGCGGGGTTCGTTGCGCAGCGCGCCAACCGTCACGCCACCGAATGGCAGAGACAAAGATCCCCCGTATAGCCTTAAAAGGCTGTAGGAGCAAGTGCTGTCATCGAGCACCTATGGAGGCCGGCACGATGGGGCGGGTGACCAGCACCGCTCCCGGCCGCCTTTGTCTCCCCCGAACCAGGTACACGTTTGAGGATTTGAGGCTGAGTCGACCTACGGGAGGCCCAGGACCGGTTCAGATAATCGTCCTCCCCCCCCCACCCCCCATACATACAAATACAAAGTTCCCCTTGTGTAGAATTAACAGACTGTTGGGGCAAGTGCTGTTAGCGAGCACCTACATATTACGCACTCATGTTCCTTCTCCACGGCACGTGATCTGAAGAAGGACCTTGTAACGAAACCTCGCCAAAGATATCGCTTTTCTCTGTTGCAGGTAGCGTTGCTTTTGTCATTCCTTACACCCCACTCCTCTTTAGCCAATTGTTGACGATTCAACCGCCAGGTCTGAATGCGCTTTTTGTTGTCCTCGTCGTCGTCGTTGCTGCTGTTGTGAAGGTGGAATTCGCCCCTGGCGAGAACCACGTCGTTTTTTTTTAATCTCATCTTCTATTGCAAGCATCGTACAATGCGGATTTATGCGCAGCAGCAACAACAGCAGCGGCAGCAACAACAAAAAACAACAATGCTCTTTTGTTTACCCACTCTCAGTGCGTCCCAAGGCCTCGTAAAAGTCTCCGTGAGTCTGAAGGTTTCAGAGAAGTCTCAAGGAGTTTCAATGTTTCAAAAAAGTCTCAATGAGTCCCAAGGCTTCAGAAAAGTCTCAATGAGTCCCAAGGCTTCAGAAAATTCTCAATGAGTCTCAAAGTTTCAGAAAAGTCTCAATGAGTCTCAATGTTTCAAAAAAGTCTCAATGAGTCCCAAGGCTTCAGAAAATTCTCAATGAGTCTCAAAGTTTCAGAAAAGTCTCAATGAGTCTCAAAGTTTCAGAAAAGTCTCAATGAGTCCCAAGGCTTCAGAAAAGTCTCAATGAGTCCCAAGGCTTCAGAAAATTATCAATGAGTCTCAATGTTTCAGAAAGTCTCAATGAGTCTCAATGTTTCAAAAAAGTCTCAATGAGTCCCAAGGCTTCAGAAAATTATCAATGAGTCTCAAAGTTTCAGAAAAGTCTTAATGAGGCCCAAGGCTTCAGAAAAGTCTCAATGAGTCCCAAGGTTTCATAAAAGTCTCAATGAGTCTCAAAGTTTCAGAAAAATCTCAGTGAGTCTCAAGGCTTCACAAGAGTCTCGATGAGTCTCAAGGCTCCTCTCCTCACTGCCGTGTAAGAGAAGGATGGTGGGGAACTTCGGAGGGCAGATCTCGGAGGCGAGGTCGTGGCGAGTCTCCTGTGCAAGCAACAGCACGGCACCTGGCAGAAGGAAGGAAGCGTTGGCGCTGAGGTGCGGTGGTTGGTGTTAGTGGTGGTGCTTAGTGGATTGCATTTGGATGTTTTTGCCAATGCGAGGAAACCGGAGGATCGGGAGGAAGACAAAATAAACCCCACCACGCACGCGAGGTCTGTGGCGCTGCAAGCTCCGCACAGATAGATTCCATCCACAGTCTCGAGGAGTGGGCTCAACGCGCTTGGATGAGCGTGTGAATTAGTGAGTGAGTGAGTGAATGGATGAATGGATAACCCGAAGTGGGAATCATTCACAAGGGGATGGACTAGACGTAAAGGCTATATCGGTTGTTCACATTCCAATTAGGCCGTTCACACGCTCGCACGTGCCTCAGCATTGGAAAAACAATAGCACCACGTGGCGCAATGACGCTGCTGCTGCTGCTGCTTCGGCAGTGGTGCGCAAGCAGCAGCGGACAGAACAACTCCGAGCCGGCGGTGGTCGGGGTCGCGGTGCCCGCATGGCCAGCCACAGCATGCCCCAAGCAGCTTCTGCTTGGCCGCATAGACGGGGCAGGGGGGGGGGGTCTGTGCGGGCGCGGCCAAGGGGCTCGAGAAGCGATGGATGGGAGGATGCGGAGCTGAGTGGAGTTGCCGAAGTCCGATTACCCAGCGGTGTCAGGATCGGCCTCTGTGGAGGAGGAGCAGGGAGGAGGCTCGTGAAGGACCCTGCTGGGCAGTTGGAGGCAGTCGCCCTTCAACAACAACAGCGGAGGGCGGGCGCATAAATGCTGCAGGTTGGCGAGGTAGGGGACACAGGTGGTGTATCTGCCAGCCGTCTCAATCAACCCATGGCACCTGGGTCTGTCCCGTGACCTCCTGCCAGCGAGCCTTCGACACTTCACGTGACGGTCTGAAGGTGCACCTAGCCTGGCACAAGCACCGTGGGGACGTCGCCGCCACTTAGTGGCGAATGGCGGTTGTTGTTAAGTGAACGTGCGAATTGGTGAGTGACTAAGTGTGTGAGCATGTGGTGTCTTTGTGTGTGAGTGAGTGGGTGGTGAGTGAGAGGGTGGGTGGGTGAGTGAGTGAGTGGTTGAGTGAATGGGTGAGTGACTAAGGTGTGAGCATGTGGTTGAGTGTGGCAACGAGTGTCTTTGTGTGTGAGTGAGTGACTGGGTGAGTGGGTGGGTGGATGGGTGAGTGAGTGAGTGGGTGAGTGAGTGTGTGAGTGAGTGAGTGGGTGGGTGAGTGAGTGAGTGGGTGGGTGGGTGAGTGAGTGGGTGGGTGAGTGAGTGAGTGAGTGGGTGGGTGAGTGAGTGGGTGGGTGAGTGAGTGAGTGGGTGGGTGAGTGAGTGAGTGGGTGGGTGCGTGGTGGGTGAGTGGTGAGTGGGTGAGTGATTGAATGGGTGAGTGAGTGAGTGGGTGAGTGGGTGAGTGGGTGGGTGGGTGAGTGAGTGAGTGGGTTGGTGCGTAGGTGGGTGGGTGAGTGGGTGGGTGGGTGCGTGAGTGGGTGGGTGAGTGGGTGGGTGCGTGGGTGGGTGGGTGGGTGAGTGAGTGAGTGAGTGGGTGAGTGGGTGGGTGGTGAGTGAGTGAGTGGGTGGGTGCGTGGGTGGGTGGGTGAGTGGGTGGGTGCGTGAGTGGGTGTGTGAGTGGGTGAGTGGGTGAATGAGTGAGTGAGTAGGTGCGTGGGTGGGTGGGTGCGTGGGTGGGTGGGTGCGTGTGTGGGTGGGTGAGTGGGTGAGTGAGTGAGTGAGTGGATGAGTGAGTGGGTGAGTGAGTGGTGGTGAGTGGGTGGGTGCGTGAGTGAGTGAGTGGGTGAGTGAGTGGATGAGTGAATGGGTGAGTGAGTGGGTGAGTGAGTGGATGAGTGAATGGGTGGGTGAGTGAGTGAGTGAGTGGATGAGTGAGTGGATGAGTGGGTGAGTGAGTGGGTGAGTGAGTGAGTGGGTGAGTGAGTGGATGAGTGAGTGGGTGAGTGAGTGGATGAGTGAGTGAGTGGGTGAGTGAGTGGATGAGTGAGTGGGTGAGTGAGTGAGTGAGTGGGTGAGTGAGTGGGTGCGTGAGTGGGTGAGTGGGTGAGTGAGTGAGTGGGTGAGTGAGTGAGTGGATGAGTGAGTGAGTGAGTGGATGAGTGAGTGAGTGGGTGAGTGAGTGGGTGAGTGAGTGGGTGAGTGAGTGGATGAGTGGGTGAGTGAGTGAATGAGTGGGTGGGTGGGTGCGTGAGTGGGTGAGTGAGTGGGTGGGTGGGTGGGTGCGTGGGTGGGTGAGTGAGTGGATGAGTGAATGGGTGAGTGAGTGGGTGAGTGAGTGGGTGGGTGGGTGCGTGAGTGGGTGAGTGAGTGGGTGGGTGGGTGCGTGGATGGGTGCGTGAGTGAGTGAGTGGATGAGTGAATGGGTGAGTGAGTGGGTGAGTGAGTGATTGAGTGAGTGAGTGGGTGGGTGGGTGCGTGAGTGGGTGAATGAGTGGGTGAGTAAGTGGGTGGGTGCGTGAGTGGGTGCGTGAGTGGGTGAGTGAGTGAGTGGGTGAGTGAGTGAATGAGTGAGTGGATGAGTGAGTGGATGAGTGAGTAAGTGAGTGAATGGGTGTGAGTGGGTGGGAGTGAGTGAGTGGATGAGTGAGAGGATGAGTGAGTGGGTGAGTGAGTGAGTGAGGTGGTGAGTGAGTGGGTGAGTGAGTGAGTGGATGCGTAAGTGAGTGATTGAGTAAATGAGTGAGTGGATGAGTGAGTAAGTGGGTGAGTGAGTGGGTGAGTGAGTGGGTGAGTGAGTGGACGAGTGAGTGGATGATTGAGTGGATGAGTGAGTGGATGAGTGAGTGAGTGGATGAGTGAGTGTGTGGGTGAGTGAGTGGGTGAGTGGGTGAGTGGGTGAGTGAGTGGATGAGTGGATGAGTGAGTGGGTGAGTGAGTGGGTGGGTGAGTGAGTGGATGAGTGAGTGGGCCGCAAGAGTGGCCCCACTTCTGCACGTTGACCCTTGAGCTGCCCACTCCCGTCGGATCATCACCACCAGGTCGACAGACCGATCTCGACGCGTTCGGGAGCGTCTCCTCCCTCCATTGTGACGTCGTTGACGCGTCACGTTCGCCCCATAGATAAGCCAGAGAGCGAGAGAGTGAGGGAGAGCGCAAGGAAGCGACTTTGGGGCCTTCCATAAATGACGTCACGCGATTTTGGACGATTTTGACCCCCCCCCCATTCGTCACACGGCGTCACAAAAAGTCAGACCCCCCCCTCAAATATGACGTCACAAAGCTCTGCCCCCCCCCCCAAATATAAAACATGTTCCAAATCGCTTTAAACTATTGTCATTGTATTTAATGTGGCGCTGCACGCTGATGTTGTAGGAGAAAACATTTATTAAAAAGTTTTATTTAACTAAATAGAACATGTTGTCTATATTTAAAGTTGCGCATTTTGACGTGACGTCACATTTCTCAAACTCCCCCCCCCCTCGTCACACATCGTCACAAATGTCTGACCCCCCCCCCCCCCACCTAGATGCGTGACGTCATTTATGGACGGCCCCTTTGTTCACCATACACACACAACTTGCGCGTGCAATTTTCTTCCAAGAGGCTCACAACTTATTTTTGTTTGCTCCGAGTCCAAAAATTTGAGTAGGAAAAATATTTTTTTTTTTTAAAAACCCCACCTCACTGCGTCACCGCTGCTGGACAAAATGCCCCGGTCCGTATCGTTTGTTTCGACCGCGGTCCCACGCCCGAGTGGGAAGTTTCCTTAGCCCGTACAGCTGTACCGACTGCGGCCGTATCGACCGTCAATGGAAATCCATGCGGCCCGGCGCGGTTCTGGCGCGGCTACAGCTGGCGAAGGCCACGCCCGCCGATCGTTAAGGCCACGCCCGCCGATCGTTAAGGCCACGCCCAGATCGTTAACCGCCTCCGCAGTAACATCAGCAACAAGAGCAGTGGGCGGGGCACAAGTTGGAGACAACTTTGGAGGGGGTGAGGGGGGGTGGAGAAGTCCGGGATTAGTTATCCCACCCCTCCCTCCCTCTACCCCCCCCATCCCCGCCCCTCCTCCACCCCCCCCCCAACCTCCACTCCCAACTCACTTGGCAGCCACCGCAAGGGTACGCAGAGGGCGGACGTGGGGGTGCCGTGAGGCGGGCAGCGAGACGGGGAGAGGTCAGGGGGCTGCATGGGAGCCAGGTGTGGGGGAGGGGAGGGAGGGGAGGGGTGGGAGATGGGGGGTGGGGGGGCCTTGCAGGGGGAGCTGGGTTGGGGTGCCCGAGTCACGAGTTGACTTTGCCAGGGATATAGTTCACGTGTCGCTTCGTGTGAGAGCCGCGCTTCGTGTTCGCTCTGAGCGTCGCCGACAGTTATTGGGGGGCGGGGGGGAGGTGTTTATAGACCCCCCCTCGGGCATATGAACGTGGAATGGCCACTCATCGTATTACGACGGCTGTGGCGAGTTAACTACCTCGCCTGGTATACAGGAGGTCGTGGGTTCAATCCCGACCCTGGCGCCTGCTGTAAATTTGGAGTTTTGCGGTGTCTCTCTCTCTCCCCCCGTGGTCGCGTGGACTTTTTCCTCCGAGTCCTCCGGTTTTCCCCTCCGCGTTGAGAATCGACGTCACCACGCGTTTGGAGTATTTGGCTGCGATATATTTCCACACGGCGATGATGAACCACCTCGTTGGGCTATAATTTGTGGCCAGGTCGCTTCTGAAAAAGAGCCACATAGCTGATGTGGTTCAGCAAAAAAAGAAACAGTTCATGCTTCAGTTTATTATTGATTACGTATTGTTTTTACGATTATTTCACGTTGCCGATTTGTTGTAAACACGCACCTGCATGCATCGTCATCAGCAGCAGCAGCAGCCCGCGCTCTCTCCACCAGCGTCATCGCCGTTACTCGCGGCCACGGAGATGCGCGTGGGGAATCATCTCACCCCTCCATCTCACCTCTGCATCTCACCCCTCCATCTCACCCCTCCATCGCACCCCTCCATCTCACTCCTCCATCCCACCCCTCCATCTCACTCCTCCATCTCACCCCTCCATCCCACCCCTCCATCTCACCCCTCCATCCCACCCCTCCATCTCACCCCTCCATCTCACTCCTCCATCCCACCCCTCCATCCCACCCCTCCATCCCACCCCTCCATCTCACCCCTCCATCTCACCCCTCCATCCCACCCCTCCATCTCACCCCTCCATCTCACCCCTCCATCCACCCCTCCATCCCACCCCTCCATCCCACCCTTCCATCCGACCCCTCCATCCCCCCGCTCCATCCCACCCCTCATCCCACCCTTCCATCTCACCCCCGCATCTCACCCCTGCATCTCACTCCTCCATCCCACCCCTCCATCTCACCCCTGCATCTCACCCCCCCTCCATCCCACCCTCCATCTCACCCTCCATCCCACCCCTCCATCCCACCCCCCATCCCACCCCTCCATCCCACCCCTCCATCTCACCCCTCCATCCCACCCCTCCATCTCACCCCTCCATCTCCACTCGCGCGCGGTGAATGGAGCGCTCCACTCTCCAACCCCACCCCGGCTGGGCATCGGCTGGCCAGCGACCTTTAGCTGTGGCACCGTCTGAACCGGAGGTCGGAAAAACCCGCGGGTCCGCATCCCGATTAGGCTCTTTAAGGACTGCGCTTCGTGACGGTTGTTAAGGGCTCACAGTCACGTGACAGTTGTGCTGTTAAGGGCTCACCGTCACGTGACAGTTGTGCTGTTAAGGGCTCACCGTCACGTGAGAGTTGTGCTGTTAAGGGCTCACCGTCACGTGACAGTTGTGCTGTTAAGGGCTCACCGTCACGTGACAGTTGTTAAGGGCTCACCGTCACGTGACAGTTGTGCTGTTAAGGGCTCACCGTCACGTGACAGTTGTGTTATTAAGGGCTCAC